AGAGAGGTGCACATGAAAGCGCCCCACCCCCTCCTGCACACATGCCTTTTCTCTTGGTCTCTGCTGTGAGCGACTAGCTGCAAACGGGCACTTTCTCTGCTCAATGAAGAACGTGACCCCAAGTGAACGTGAACTCCTCGTCCGTGTGGTCAGCAAAGCTGCTCTGTGATCTCTGCACTGAGTGGAAGTCCCTGGCAGAGAATCTGATGGCTCCAGCCTGGCTCAGGTGTGAGTCCTCATCACGGGAGGCAGGGCTGTGTGAGTCAGTGGCTTCCAGAGGGGACTCACGGCAAAGTCAGCACGACCTGGGGGTGGGTACAACCGGCAGACTGTCCGCATGCCTGCCACACACACAGTGAGGACAGTGGGGGCAGCCACAGTCAACCCTGGTGCTGGCACACCAGTGAACGGACTGTGGGGTGTGGATGATCCAGGGAGCTGGGGAACAAAGACCTTACTTTTATTTGTTTTGTTTGTTTGTAAGTTGAGAATTTCTCTTTTATTTGGGGACATTTTGGAACTCAGCCAGTGTCTGGAGGCCTGTGGAGACCAAGCACAGCGGATTCTGAGAGTCACTCAGCCTTGTCATTGATTCACTGGGTAACATTTGAGGAGTCACTGTTACCTCATTTCAAATTTTCCTGGACTTATATGGAATTTCACAGGCACTACCCGTCTCAGGTCTAAGGAGAAGGCTACGGAACTATTACAAGGTTTGTTTCAACTTAGTAACTATTTTTAGGAGCTCCTTTGCCAGCTACAGGACTGAACTTGTGATAGAAACACTTCAGATTTCAGAGACCCAGCGTTTAAGTGAGGAGTGGAGTTAACCCATATAATTAAACTCAAATCATACCATCACACATACAAAAGAAAGATTTTTATTAGACGAGGGGAGTCAGGAGCTGAGAAAAAAGAAAAATTGGTTCTGAATCACTGAGATACAAAAGACCGGAAGCTGATATAAAATTAGTTTGGAACCTTGAAGTAGACTTTTAAGAACTGGGGAAAAGGGAGAAAACCATGGTAGACATAAACTAGCTACTAAATTAGCAAAGAAGAATGGGAGATGTCATCGGTAAAGAGGTGAACTTGGCCTGAGTGTAGCGTACGAGAGGGATGAATGGAGAGAGATGGCAGAGTGAGGTTAGGGTCCAATCGGGAGTCTAAAAGCTCAGGTACTTGAACTTGATTCCGTAGACTTGGGAAGATTTTCAGCAGATCAACTCTGCATTTTAGAAAGAGAACTGTGATGTATTTGACACATTTCTCAAACACAAGCAAAGTGGGATTTTTATTAGAAACAAAACAACTGTGTGTGTTGCCAATATTAAAATTCAAGCTTTCGAGTGACCGACCATTAGGATTTTGAGTGTTCACCAGCATGAGCTTGCCGGTTTCCCTAGACAGGAAGACTTTTCTGATAAGATAGGTAGTGACATGATATTTTTTGATATTGTGTCATGAAATGTGTCAACAATCGGAAGATCTGCATAATGCAATAAGCCACTATTTTCCAGATGATCAATACATGAAGGGACATCTTATATGGGTAAAAGAGCCACTCCAAGTGCTCAATTGGCCAATGAATTTTAATGCACTAGTTGTTGGAGGTCATCAAGAAGATGCAGCCACTGGTAGACCAAGGCAACAGAGGCTCCTCATGGTCTCCCAGCTTTGGAATGTACCTCTGCCCGCTGTTCCCATGCTAGGAGCCACTTAAGGACTCACCCTTGAGAGGGTGATGTGTTATTGAGACCATCTGGATGGTCTACTTGACTGAAGACTGGTGGGTGGGTGCAGAGATCCATAGTTATGTCTTTTTATTCCAACTGCACGTCTGTGTGATACTGGATTAATTCATACAATTTCACGGAAACTACACATCATAACAGATTGAATGCAGAAGCAGATATGAACATCGCAGTGCTTATTTTTAAGCAAACATTAAAAAGATGAGCAGGTCCTGGCCAGGTAGCTCAGCTGGTTAGATCATTGCCCAGATATGTCAAGGTTTGGGGTTCAATCTCTGGTCAGGGCACATACAAGAAGCAACCAATGAATGTATCAATAAGTGGAACCAGAAATCAATGTTTCTCTCTCTCTCTCTCTCTGTCTCTCAAATCAATAAAAAATGTAAAAATATATATTGGCAAAAATATAAAACAATGCAATTCTCATGAATTATTTTATTTTGAGAAAGAAAATTATTTTACATAAAGTATGTTTTTATGTAAACATGTAATATTCTTATGTTATTTTAGGGAATTAACACATAAATATTTAAAAATTTTATTTCTTATTTGCTAAATATTGGTAGAAATAATCCACATAAACAAAAGCTCTTTGGGACCCTTAATTTTTTTTTTCTAGCCATACTGAGGTGTAATTGACAATTTAAAAGCTTATATATTTAAAATGTATAAAGTTATGGTTTGATATATGTACACGTGTAAAATAATTACCACAAACAAGTTGATCAACACATCCAGCATCTCACACAGTTACTGTGTATGTGTGTGTGTTGAGAACACTGAAGAGTTACTCTGTTAGCAAATTTTAAGTATATAGTACAGTGTTATTACCTATAGTCACCATGCTATTCATTAGATAGCCATAACTTATTCATCTTACAACTGAAAGTTCATACCCTAAGACCAACATTCGCCCCTTTCCCCCACTCCTAGCCCCTGGTAGCCACCATTCTATGATCTGTCCTATGAGTAGACTGTTTTAGATTCCACATGTAAGTGAAATCAATCAGTATTTGTCATTCTCCGGCTTATTTCACTTAGCATAAAGTCCTCCAGGTTCATTCACACATCAATATATATATTATATATATTGCATTTTAGAATGCATTTTCCTGAGAGATCATCAATAATTTTAGGAGGGAAAAGACCTCCTGAGACCAAAGAGTTTGAGAAAACTTCCCTTCACCTTATTTCCTGCTCAGAATTCAGGGTCCAGCATAGTTAGACTAAGGCAGGACAGTTCCTAAGAATTGTTTTTTTAAGAAACATTTTTAATATGTTTTTATTGATTCCTAGAGAGAGAGGAAGGGAGAGGGGGAGAGAGAGAGAAACATCGATCAGCTGCGAGCCAGCAGCCCGGGCACGTGCCCTGTGGGGAAATGAACCGGCGGCCTCCAGGTGCATGGGACAAGCCCAGCCAGCTCAGCCAACAGGGCCGGTTCCTCCGAATCGTGAAGCAGGTGTTCTCGGCTTGTTTGTCCCAGGAATGCTCTACACTCTTACAGTCAGTGCAGAGCAGGAGTCAGTTCTTTGTTTCTGGAAACTTGAAATCTTTGCGTGCTCTGGAAAAATGCAGCTCCTGCTCCTTCTGCAGGGCAGGCCAGCATGGGAATCGTCCCATCTGAGCACAGAAGCAAGAAAGCTCCATTTTCCTCCCCAGCCTCCAAACACAAAGCAGAAATTCCAGTCTCACAAGAAGGAACTATCCCGCCTCCCAAACAGGGTCTGTTCCAGACACTTACTCACATTTCAGTGAGTCAAAAGGAAACAGATACTCATCTCCCCAAGCCTGGCTGACTTCCTGCAAGAAGTCATTGGGGAGAGTCCAGGTTGGATGTCGGGGTTATCGAGTGGCCACCTAAGAACCCACAGGTAACATCTGGAGTCTTAGTAAGCAGGTGAGTACCACAGACAGGTCAGGAAAAAGTCCTTCCAGTGTTTGTCAGGATTAGTAAGTAGAGTTAGTCAGTGACAGATAAGAAAGCAGGAACTGGGGGGTATACATTTTGGGTTCAAAGGTACTGAGTTTATGGTCATGACTGCAAGCAATAACATCTGATGAATACTGATTTAATACTTTAAAATTCTGAGATCCCAGCCCCAGCTACGGTAAAGGGGAGCCAACCTTCGCTTTTCGTCCGTTAGTTAAGTTCTGGAGACCCTGAATCCCCTGGCTTCCCGGGGACAGTGTCCAAGCATCCGCCCGGCTGGTAGCACACCCCACAGCGATCTGCAGAATACGCCTAGACTAGTCACGACTCACGTTTATTGAAACAGTCCATTGCTTACAAAGGAGGCCCTGGGAGAACTTTAGTTTCAGCAACATGCTGGGAATTTGTGGCTGAACCTTTGGGGAAAATAATCAGGTTTAAAGAAAAGTGAATATTCTGTTTCTCGGCGTGGTCGGTCACACTCTCACATAGGGTTCTAGGGTGTCCTCTTTCCCGACTGGACACGGACATGACGGGAGAAGTGGTGATGTCCTAATACAGACGCAGAGGAAGGGTCACCGGTTCGCCGGGGCCTCTCTTCTCTCTGCTTAAACTTGGAATAAAATCGGTTCCTTATTAACTGGGAGGGGAGACTTGAATGAACACACACACACGCACACACACACGCACACACACGGCGCTCCTGCGGCAGGTCTTGCTTAAATGTCACCTCAGTCACCTCAGATAATCATAGCCTGGGAGCAGATTTCTTTCCGGAGGAGTTCGTTCCTAACCTGGCCATTCTGCGCTTATTTTTGTCAGTGTCTCCACCCACTCGGGAAAGGCAGGGCCCGCCCGCGCCGCGCAGCCCCTCGGAGGGACCCGGGGCTCTGTCGCCCCCTCCCCGCCCCTCCGGGAGCCACCAAGGGCTGCAGAAGGGCCGGGGACGTCCCGGAGTCCGGGGTCTCGGGAGGGCCGCAATGGCCCGTCCGATGTGCGGGGCTGCCCTGCCCAGCGCAAGAAAAGGTGCCGCAGGTGCCACCCGCAGCCCACGGTTTCCGCCCCGGGCTGGGACCCGGTGGCGAGCGGACGCGGTTTCCCGGGGCGTGGGGCCAGGTGCGGCCCGCGGGCGGGGCGGGGCGTGCACATCCGTGTTCGCGAGCGGAGGGCGGGCCGGGGCGGGCCTTGGCGCTCCCCGAGCTCCGCCGACTTTTCCCTGCTCCCGCCGGGCCGGACACAGCCCTCGGACGCCCTGGCGAGTCGCGGCTCTCGGCCCTCTGCAGTGCCCAGCAGCTGCCGCCCGGGCAGGCGCAGGATGCGGGCGGGGCGCACGGGGACCCCGCCGCTGCGGCGGGTGCTGCCGCTCCTTCAAGGTAAGTAAGCCGGGCTGTGCCGCGGGGCGCGGGCACCTGCGCGGTCCCGGCGGCAGGGGCGGTCGCGGGACCCGGGCGGCAGCGCGCGTCTCCGCTCCGACTGCACGTGGACGCGGGCCCCCCGCCAGCCCCGCGGATGGACAGACTCCCTCCCATTTCCGCGCTGACCCCCGGCGTCCCCCTGAAAGCAGGACCCGTCGTCGGCTGAGCTCCCGCCACTGTAGAGTCAGCCGAGTTCTGGTCCGAGGCTCACGCGCCCGGGCGCCTGTAGCACACAGCGGGCATTCGTGGGCGCCCGGAGGGCGAGCGCCGCAGCCGGTGCACAGGTGCCGCCCCAGACCGGCCGGGGTGCAGTGGTCCCGGAATCCGGCCCGGGCGGCGGTCTGCTCCCCCTCAGCGCCCAGCCTGGTGGCTTTGCAGGACCCGGGAGCCCCAGTGCTGATGTCTGACCCAGGGGTGTGCCAGGGCCCAGCACACAGCACTGGTGTGACTCGCCCCAGGGGACACAAAAACCAAGCGCCTCCTGAGTACTTGGCAGAGGGGAATTCTTCCTTCCCTCCTGCCTTCCTCTTATTGTTCTCACGTCGTCCGTGCAACCAGTGCGAACTCGGGCCAGGAAAACTTCTTTCCACTTTCTTGATCTTGGCGCCACGGGAGAGAGCTGCCGGAGTGGGAGGTCCAGCTGCAGGCGGGAGAGGGGTCCCGCCCTCGCCGAGTCCTTTAGCCCGGTGGGGGAATGAGACCGGGAGCCACGCTGCTTCCGGAGACCTTCTTGTACCGGGAGAACGTCCCCCAGACCTTCTGCAGAGCCGGGGAGACACTTACCTTCTCTTTGCTTTATTGATTTTTTAGAGAGAGAGGAAGGGACATGGAGAAAGGTAGAAACATCATGAGAGAGAACATCCACTGGCCGCCTCCTGCACGCCCCCCACTGGGGATTTGGCCCACAACCTGGGCGTGTGCCCTGACCCGCGACCTCTGGGTGCCTGGGTCCAGCCCAACCACTGAGCCACACGGCTGGGCAGGAGGCACTAACTTTAAGAATGGTCCTTTACTCAAGGTAGGCGGGGGGAGTCACGGTTATATTCTGCAGTGTGTTCAGCCATCAAAACAAAAACATGGTCTCTGCTTTTCAAATTTTTTTTTACAAAGAAGATAAATATTTCCTACACTGTGCTCTCCGGAGGCACTCACCAGTCACTGTTCTGTCTTGTGGCAGAAGCCGAGTCCAAGGGTGGGACAGAGAAATGCCCCCCCCCCCCTCAGCGCCAGCCAGAGAGAATAGATCCGGGTTTCCTGCCCCACCTGTCTGGTGCTCACAGACACTCTCCTGCCCACCCTCACCCCAAGAGTATTCTGAGGGGCCATCGACCCCAACCAGGGGCTTCAGATAAAGTTGATTCACGTTGAAAGTCAGGCCCTGGGACACCACCACCTTCCCAAGGGCTAATAGACATTTCATTCCAAGCTTTTCATCTCTCGTTAATGACCCATTATTAACAGAAGCCAGGGAAACACAGCATCATTTTCCTACCTCGGAAGTGTCGAGGCTTGTCTGCGGAGGAGCGTGGGGACGGCAGTGGAATTCGCCGCCGGGAGGCCTGTGCCCGGGCCGGGAGCGGGGCCGGGAGCAGTTCCGAGGACAGCCCCGTGCAAACGGGTGGTTAAAGTGACACGGGCGTCCTGCTTTAGTGACTTGCACACTCAGAGAACAGGTCTCCTCCTAACGCAGGAGGAGCACAGCAAGGCCTTGCCGTTTGTGAACCCCTCAGTCTGGGTTCCCAGGGAAGCAGCATTCTTTGGGGGACATTGACTATCCCAGGTGAACGTGAATGATCGAAACGTCATACGGCGTCACCCTCTCCACATGAAACTGTTGGGGATTCATCCTTACTACGCACACACCTGCAGTTGTTTATAAAGTACAGATGTGTGCAATTGTGTAGTATGGATATGCCCCCAAATTAACATGTTAAAGATATATGCGTGTGTGTTGAGACATCCTGCATTCTCCCTGGCGTGATGCCGACCACTGTGGAAGCATGTAACCCTGCGGTCTCTAGCACAGAGTCACATTCGCTCGCATGGCCCTTCTCACGGTAATGAAGACGAAGCAGCGCTCGCGGTCTGCTTCTGTGCGCATCGCCTTCCGCCGTGATTCCGTTGCTTCGGTGCTTCCGCGAGGCCGCCGGCAGGTCTGAGGGTGCAGGACGACCCTCGGGGGCCTAGACAAGCCACAGGAACTGGTGGTCAGGAGAGGCAAGGGAAACGCCATTGATTTTTCAGACAAGGTGGAAGGGAGGGATGGAGGGACAGAGAGAGGGGGAGAGCGTCTGTGAGAGGGACACACGGATCGGTTGCCTCCTCAGGCCCCTGACCGAGGCCGGGGAGGAACCTGCAGTGCAGGTACCTGCCCTTGACCAGAACCAACCCCCGCCCCGTCGGTCCTCGGCCAGCGCTCTAACCCATGAACCAAACCAGCCAGGACGGAAATGTCACTTTGAAGTGCATGACAACACTTGTGTCTCTCCTGTGCTCTCCCCTGGGTGCCACGCACTGGGACCCACAGTCTTCCCTTTAAGGAACGTTTTCAAATCCTCCCGGTCAGTTCCCTGCAGGTGGCGAGCAGTCGAATCCCTCTCTCAGTCAGCGGGTCCCTTTACTTCCAGGGTTGGCAGCTCCTTCCTCCTGAAACACCTGTGGCTTCAGTTCTACTGCTTTTCTAGTGCCTTCCTGGGGACCTTGCTCAGCCTCCTCCGCTGGCTCCTGCGTCTGGCCCGGTCCTGGGTGTTGCTGGCACAGTTGGTGTAGGCACGGTGCCCTCCTCGATCCCCCCTCCATTCTGCCAGGTCTCTGGGGAGTCACAGCTCAGGCAGAGACCAGCCTTCTCCTGACTCCGGGGCAGGGTTTCCACCGGGCGTTGGATGAGCCCATCAGACTCAGCCTCCTCCAGGAAAGTGACACCTGTCCTCGGAATCCTGCTCTGCCCTTGTCTGTGACTGTCGGGCGGCAGCAGTCCATGCAAGCACCAGACCGGGGCCCCTCCTTGTTCGCCTCGTGGCCAACCTGCGACCTCCCCGTCCCCTCCTCCCAGCCTGGCCACCGAGCTGCCGGCAGGGCAGGCCCCGGGCTTCTCTGCGTCCGCACTGCTATCGTTTTGACACTGGTTTTCCTGTTTCTGTCTCTGGTCCCTGCGATCCGGTCTCGTTGACACCTGGGTTTCCTTTCTCAACACTGACTCGTACCCCATCCGGCTTCAAACGTCTGATGGCTCCTCGTGTCTCAGGGTAAAGTCCAAGTTCCTTGGCAGGTTGGAAAAAGCCCTGTGCCATCTGGCCCCAGCCTGGGTGTTCAGCCTTTTCTCTCCACACCCATCCTGCTGACATGCACACACAGGCACTCACTGTACTTATGCACACAAGATACACACCCTGGAGACATATGCATACACACCCCCCTCTGTGTTCTGACTGCACCTAATGGTATCGTGTGCCGTGTTAACACATTTTCCAGACTGTTCTCTGCCGTTGCTGCCTTGATGCTCCTTCCCCCTGTCTCTCAGTCCTTTGTCACTCACCATTGCCCTGTGTTAGGAGAGACAACCCCGAGCAAAATTATCAAGCAGAAGCCCTGGCCAGTGTGGCTCAGTGGGTTGGGAGTTGTCCCCTGCACCTAACAGTTGCTGGTTTAATTCGCAGTCAGGGCACATGCCTGGCTTGTGGCTCTATCCCTGGTAGGGGGTGTGCAGGAGGCAGCGATCGATGTTTCCCTCGCATATTGAGGTTTCCATCCCCTCGCTCTAAACATCCAAAAAAATAAATAAATAAAGTAGGGAAGTTTTTCTTTTATAACCAAAAGGAAAGTTGGAGGCAATTTCTGATTTCTGGGACCCGCCCCAAATCCCAGACCATCCTCTGATAAAGGAGCTCCCTTCCCCCATGGCTCCCCAGCTACCACTGCCCAACCTCCACTAGGGCTTTGTTCCTGTAGAAACCTCTTCGCTGGCCTCTGCTTGATTGAAATTAATGGACTGGAGCTCAGGATTCAGTATTTAAAAACAATTACTCACATGGTTCTGATGCTCAGCCAGGTGGGGAGTAGCTGCTGAAATGTACCTCCTCTCTCCTAACAAGTTATAATCCCAGCCTGGCCTGTCCCTCCTTGTCGAGAGGTGATCACCAAGACAGGTAGATTTCAACACCCAGAGGCAGTTCTGAGTCAGTTTGAATGAATTCCCTGCAGAGTGGGTGACTTCGTCCCTCCGTGCCTGGGGCAGACTGAAGGGCACCGTCTGTTACTGTGAGAAATGAGCTTCTCAGGATGGAATCTTAGACATTCCGCGAAATAAAGACATGCATTCAGGCAGTGTGTCAAAAATAGAGAATTTCAGGGAAAACGTTTGGGACCAAAAGTATCAGCCTAGCACCGTGCAAATGTTCCCATTCAAGTCACCAGCTGTGGCTGGACTGTCCACTCTGCTGGAGATAGGCCGGTGGAGCCGCAGAAACTGGAGACGTGGTCAGAGAGGCTTGGGCCCACGGGAAATCATCCCAAACACGAGGGAGGGACCTTGTCTGAGCCCCCGAGGGGTTCCTGACCATCGTCAGACCTGCCCCTCCTTTCCGACAGAAGTCCAGGCACCGGGTGAGACCCGTCTGTGCAGCAGGCGGTCAGGGGTCACGGAAGGGTGATTGGACTGAGCCGGTCCTGGTGGTCCCGAACCTCTTGCCGGAGTCTGAGTGAGACCTGGGCACAGAAAGCAGCTTCGACCCATGAGATGTGGAGGGAGACCCGCTCAGGGACTCTGGGGAAGAATGTTTCCTTCCTCGGAGAGACACGGCTAAGAAACAGAGGCAGGTCCAGAGGTGACGCTCGGAACAGGCACTCTGGTGCAGAGACCAGAACACGGTCCCTGGCGGAGTCTCTCGGTTGCGGAATTCGTGAAATTTACAGCCATCGTATCTCTTGGTGTCTTTCAACGCTTCCGTCTAACGTGAAGT